TATGTGTGGAGGGGGGTTGGGGCGGCTGTGGGCTGCAGGCGGTCACCGGAAAGCCTGTGGGTCCAGAGGGGGTCCGGAGCCAGAGCATCCCCCGTGTTCCCCTCTGCCAACGGCCCCTGCCTGTCGCAGACCCGCAGCTTCCTGAGCCCCGAGGATGTGATGAAGGGGCTGCAAGGAGAAACCGAGGAGACCCTAGAGGGAATGAGACTGAGCGTTTCCACCATAGAGAAGCTCTTCCAGTCCTACAGCACTTACTGCTCCGACCTGATGCCCACGTTGTTCCCGGTGGGTGCGGGGGGGTTGCTGGGCTGCCTGGCCCCGTCCACGGCAGCTCCGCTTGCTGACGGCCCCACTCCACTTCCAGGAGGAGTCGCAGCTCTGGGAGCTTCCCCCCTCTCTCATCTTCAGGAGAACGGACTCCTTCTTGCACAGGCTCAGGACCATCGAGGTGACAGCACGGCGTTTTGGGGCGCGGCACCAGGTGCGAGTGAGCTCCCCTGCACTGGGGATGCCGGGGTGGTCCCCTGAGAGTGGCCTGGGGCAAGCTGTGCTCCGTCCTGGGGTGGGCTGGGGCCGTGGGCGCAGCCGAGGGGCAGAGGGGCGGGGGGCAGCGGTGCGTTTCTGGGAGCGCAGTGGCATCGTCCCCAGCCGGACACCAGCGGCCCCAGGGCCGGGTGGGCACCCCCAGCCACGCCACGAAGTGTCCCCGGGAAGGATGCTCCTCGGGAGCGGGGAGCTCGCAGGACGCAGCACTGCGGCACGGGGAGCTGGGTGCGATGATGGTTTGTGCTCGTCAGGAGCTCTACCGGACAGCCGACGAGTTTCTGAAGCTGGAGAAGGCAGAGCTGGGAGAAGTGAGAGGAAACGTCCTCGGGAGCCGGGTGTTTCAGATCTACGAGGAGGTCTCTGAACTCGTTAAGGGCTTTGCTGATTGCAAATACGATCCCTTGGATCCTGCAGAAGAGGTGAGTGAATGCCGGTTTGGCAGCGTAAGCGTTTGCTGAACGAAAAACGTCGCTTGCCAGCGCGCGCTGGGAGAGCTGCCTGTAGAGCCGTCCTCTGGCAGCACCTGCGCTCGCTCTGGGGCAGGTCGCGGGGCTCCAGGGTCTCTGGATTCAGCAAATCCTTCTGGAAGGATTCGGGAAAGAAGTGCAGAGGCTGCGCCAGCTTCAACCATTTTGCTCTGACTGGCAGCAATGGGACAAAGACTGCAAATTTGCAGAGTTCCAGAAGAAGCTGCAGGACAAGGACAGGCGGCTGGCCACCGTCTTCTGCCAAGGCTCCGAGGACTGCAACTGCCTGGCATCCGCTGTGAAGGTACGCGTGCCCCAGCTCAGCACATCCT